GCATCCTGGTTCAGCCAGTCACAGATTTATTGACTCATTGAGTGGACAAGGACTTGTCAGCCCAGAAATGGGTACCCCAAGGCTCAGTGCAAGGCTACTGGAGCAGTCTTTGACATAACAGCCCTACTAGTATTTACCCTAATGGGAGCACTGGCCTGGAGTCAAGTGGTGAATGTGCATATTGAACAAAGGGACACGATCTTGGGACAGGTACATAGGGCTCGACCAGGAAGAGCCAGGACTTATCAGCAACTCTGAGGCATGGTGACCTGAGAAATAAGGCCTGGGAATGGGCTGGGGTTAATCAGTGTTCGAGGAGGTAGAAGAAGGTATCTGATCATCCTCACAGCAGGTACAAAGGCCTGGAGGCCCCAAAGTCCTGAAGGATCCCATCTGAGGAGGGAGATGACATGACATGAGTCCAGAGGGGGAAGGTGCTTCATGGGGTGTGGGCTTCCATGCAGGGATGAGGAGGGTACTTGTAGAGTGTTAAGCTGAAGACTGACACTGACATTTTTATTTTAAAAAACTATGGTTGTTTGTTGAAGAATGGGTGGGAGGAGGAATAAACTTGGAGCATGAAACCAGTAGAAAGTAGTGCCCAGGAGAGAGGACATGGAGCCTCAACCAGGAGAGTAGGAAGGGGGTGGGGAAGAAAGGGCCCCCGTAAAGGCACTGAGGAAGGAAAACTAACTGCCCCTGTGACCACTAAGCAAGAGAGGAGCCCAGGACATTCCTGGGGGTCGACCAGCAAGTGTCCTGAGTTGCCTTGAGCAACGTGGGCACCCAGCACCTGTCCCTCTGTTTTTCTCCAGAAGATGAAGTCAGGACGACCCCAGCCGCACCCACGGCTGCCCCTGAGCCACCCTTCACCCCTCGCCTGGAGGAGCTGACCGTGACTGACGCCAACCCCAACTCCCTGAGCCTGTCCTGGACGGTCCCGGAGGGCCACTTTGACTACCTCTTGGTCCAGTACAGAAATGATGATGGGAAGCCCAAGGCCATACAGGTGCCAGGACATGAAGACAGTGTTACCATCTCGGGCCTGGAGCCGGACCATGAGTACAAGATTAACCTGTTTGGTCTCTACAATGGCCAGCGAGTGGGCCCCGTCTTTACTGTGGGTGTAACAGGTGAGTGAAAGGAAGGTGGAGGCTCTGAGGGGGATGCAAAGGGTCATTTTTCTTTCTGCTGGTTCTGGCCATAGGTCTGAAATTTTGTCCTGGGCTGTGACCCATGCTAGTGGCCGCCACCTGTTCCCCACCGTGACCACGAACTGGTTTTTTCAGATGAGATTTTTTTTTTCATGACCACAGACCTGCTCTTGGCTGTGGCTGTGGCCCCTCTGCCCCTTCCTCTGAGCTTAACTGTTTGTGCCTCCTGGACAGAGAGCAGCCTTGAGAGCTTTGATGCTCTAGTGTCTACTACCTGTCCCCACACTGGATCTGGGGCTCTGGGCACATTTGTGAGGACCCAGCAGGACTCCAGCCCAGGAATCAACTTCAGTCTTAGCCAAGCTTCCTTATGCTTCTCCTTTAGGATGTAGGGATACCTCATAGGGGTTCCCTCACCTCTCTGTGTCTCTTTCTCAGCTCCAGAGGAAGAGGCCCCCACAGAGGCCCCCGAGGAACCCCTCCTGGGGGAGATGACAGTGACAGGATCCACCACAGACTCGCTAAGCCTCTCCTGGACCGTCCCCCAGGGCCACTTTGACTCCTTCACCGTGCAGTACAAGGACAGGGACGGGCGGCCCCAGCTGGTGCGTGTCGGGGG